AGCAAGGACATTTCAACAGACAGCGGATACTGTAAATAGAGTCCTGAAAACTTCAAGATGCCCAACGCAGCCATACCTTCTACCCATGCACTTTGACACACACAGGCATAAAGGATATGTTTTTTTTTTTTTAATTTTTTTATGAATATTTGCATGCTTAACTAATTTTATAAATTTTAAAATTAATAATGATGAAAAACTCATAATTAGTTTTGAAAATACTCAAACTCATAATTACTAGAAAATAAATTTAAAACCTAACCAATTAAACTCATTTTCAGGAGATTAAAGTTATGTCTTTTTTTTTGTTTGGGTTGCGTTCACCGTCGTTCATGATTTTTTGAATTTTTTTTGTTTAAATTTTTTTTTTAATATTTTTAAATAATTAAAATGTGTGGTGCTAAAAATAATTTTTAAAAAATAAAATAATATTTTTAAATGCATTTTAAACCAAAAATTACTTTACCTAACTACCGAATGCTCTTTATTTTGGGTATTGCACACACAAGACAAAATTATCCAAATTTCGGATCCGAGCCTTGGGTAAGGGCATCAAATGGCGACCGGTGCAACCAAATCAGTTGACATTCATGATTGACCTCTTCGGAACTTCTACCACGCCTTCGGAAAAAGCAAACGCATGGGATATGTGCACATATTGTAGAGCAGCCTTTGTTGAAAATGGAGAGAAGCTCGGCCTAACCTATAAATAGATTGTATACAATCTTATCAAATTGATTGATACAAGAGAGCAATCTTACAAAAGCCAACCCTCGCATATGTTGTCTGGATTAGAAATGTTCTCTCTGTTCGCACATGTATTTCCACAAGGTTTTCATCATTAAATTCCTCAGGATTATTGGCTCCTGAACAAGATTTTATTAACACATGGATATATTTCCACAGGTTTTGATCATCCAACGAGGTAGTGAAATTGACGAGTCTTTTGAACTGATCAAAAGCCAACCCTTGCACATGGTGAACCGCTTGTCTCGTGACTGATCAAAAGCTGTCAGTATGGTTTGGTCCCAGCAAGTTTTAAAGCAAAATGGGACTTGAATTGCAGGCACAATACATGCAAGAACAACCGAGGATCGATCAAGTAAATTGAAAATAGACAAATATTTCGATAGTCCCTCCTCCTTAAAGAAGGGGGGAGAAATCCCCACCATAGTCGCTCTACTAGGCCACAAATCATGTCTTCAGCATGCATAAACCCACTACCTCTTCCATCCTGTTCTGGAAAAATTAACCACAATCAGACAGAGAAACTTCTGCCAACGGAAGCATTTCCTCGTGCAAATATCTAGCAGTTTCCATGCTTCTCCACACAAAAAGCATTCATACGACTGGGGCCTGTAACTAAATCAGCATATCATATCCTTCAGAACAAAGCAAGCGATAACGCTTTAAAATATAGTAGAATAATAATGATAATGGGTGCTCTACTTTATTTTAAGCAAAGCTGGAGGTAATATCAAGCACCCCACTAAGCCCTGTATAGATTGCTTCTCCAGAAACTATTGCAAGCAAGAACCGCAGTAGGGCCACAAACAAGGGCGGAAGCGAGGAATTTTTTCAATCCTGGGCTAGTAAATAAATATATAAATTTTTATAAGATAAATTATTAACTCATGTACATAAATTTTTAAAGTTAATAATAAAGTTTTAATTTAAATACACTACTTAAAATATTAAAAAATAAATTTAAAAATATATAAAATTAAAGTTAAAATAAAAATAAACTCACTATTAAAGTTATATTCTTTGATATTTTGTGAAATATAATTCATCTATAATCAAATTTAAATCGATATTATAACAACCTCTCAATCAGGATAAAATAACAGTCTCATGTCAATTAAAAAATAAAATAATTATATTTTTTTCTTCTCTCAATTCCTCATTTCTTCACTTGATTCTTTTTTAGATTAATATTTTATAAGTTAGACTTTGTAAATTTACAAGGTTATTTTGTCACTTTTTTTTTTAAATATTTTTTCTTTATTTTTTTCTCTTTCTCTCTCGCCTTTTTCTTTTCTTTCCTTTTCTATTATGTTTCTGTCCGGTCGGCAACATATAAAAGGAAGGAAGAACTGATTTGCATTATTTTTTAATGACAAATAACTATTTCACCCTTAATAAGTTGTTTTGCTTTTATTTGATTTTTTTTTTGTTAGCACTATCAAACTCTGTTCATCCTAAAATTTTAACAACATTTTATTCAATATATTTTAAAATCCCCCTTAAATTTTTAACTCAATCTATTAATCAGATTAAAAATTATATCCAATAACATAAAACTGGTCACATTATAATTTTTTTTTATCAAATTTCTGAATTTCTCTAAAAATTTTGAAATTTTAACCCAATATGAAGTATCATATTAGAAGACTTCATGTAAATTTTTAAAATTTCTTGATACCTTAATTGAGAATTACAAATTTTTTTATATAAAACTAATATGAAGTACCATATTAGAAGACTTCATGTAAATTTTTAAAATTTCTTGATACCTTAATTGAGAATTACAAATTTTTTTATATAAAACTAATAAAAAAATATTAATAAAATCTTGACCTAAACTAGAGTCCACAAGAGTAAATTTTTAGAATTTTTTGATATTTTAATTGAAAATTATAATTTTTTTTATATAAAACTAATAAAAAAATATTAATAAAATTTTAACCTAAATTAGAATCAACCCGAGCCATACATGACTCAACCCTTGGCCAGAAAAGTGTTGCAAAAAAAATAAATTTAAAGAGAAAAGCTATCAATACAACTTCACCAATAGGAAACAATAAAAGAGGGTGGAGTTAAAAACTACACAAAAGTAAGGTGTCTTTGCGGCAGCCATCACATCTTCTGGGAGCGTCCCTTTAAGAACACCCAATACAGCTAAATCAAAGTGGAATGCTTAGTTAACTTGTAGCTAATTTAGCATTATCATAGTACTTGCACCCTCGTGGGAAAAAAATAAAATAAAAACAAACCTTAATTGTAGTGAGATTTCTCTCCACTCATAGAAAGGTGTCCACCATGAATCTGCCAGCTTAGCCCCCACCACTACATACCAATAAGAGAATGCGGTGGACCTGCTGCGGCAAAAGAAAATCATGATTCCACCAAGGAATCATAAATTTGGCATCAGATGCCGTAGCTATCCGGTATGATAGTACCCTGAGCACGGAGAAACAGAATCCTGCTGTTGGCCAAACAAAAACTACGAGCAGCTCAAAGTAATCATAACTATGATACCTACATAGAATACAAATAATGGCAACAGCAGCTAAAAAATAGCTAACTGGACCTGCAAGACAAAAATAAAAACATGGGGTGCATCACTGCATCTTGAAGATATCTCCTGCTATAAAATTCAAAACCAAGTCAGAAACCTTGCGATCAAGATTTAAATAACTCGGGTGCTTTATGGACTGGAAGAAAGAAATTGCAGTGGGAGAAACGAGGAACCAAATTATAGGTGCATTGAAGCACCAAGTGATCCCGTTGAATAATGTAAATGCCACGGAGAATATGTTTTCACTTAAAGAAGAAAGAAGCCTTTGCCCACGACAATGGATGCCATTGAGAACAAGCGTGGAAGCCAAACAGGGAAAGATTCAAATAAAATAAGCTACATGTAAATGGCCACGGTTGCATCTCCCATCTTTTGGTGGATTATGCATATCTTCATGAACAATAGATGCGCTCTAATGAATCATCTCCAAACAGCTAGGACTAGCACTGTCCGCATAGGGTGGTCAGCAAAATGTAAAAAAAAGAACAGAGCAAGTTCAAAGAAAACAAAATTAAACATGATTTTTTTTTATGACGTATTCAACTCGACTGGGTTCATATTACTGGAAGCAAGTAATAAGTTATTGGTTAAGATAATTAATCCAAGTCAAGATTTTTTGTAAAAGACATCATTTTGAAGGAAATTTTAGTTTTTTTCTTTTAAATTCAAATTTGATTTTTATCAAATTAACTGAATCATTCAAACAAGATCAACTCCAAGTTGACTCCTGTTTTTATTACTCAGCCCTTTCAAGTCAAGCTGGGTTTAATAATCGTGCTTGAGAGTGTTTCCACCCGAAGAAAGTGCACTACTCAGCATGACCTGCCTATGAATAGAGGGTTTAATTTGAGACCGTCATTTAAGAGGTATACAGTTCAGAAACTCGAGGTTTTATTGATTCACAGACATCGTATTTGCAGTTGCATCCAAGAAAACACACGTAGAGATTCCCTGACATGCTTCCCTAATACCTGGGAAACTAGACGCAAGAGACCTTCATGAATGGCATATGAATCAGTTATCAAGAGCAAAATTTATAATCACCACCATGTTTTAAGATCAATCTAACACCATGCCCATGGACCCTAGGCCTCGTGGCCTCTGCCACTTAAGGGCGTCAGTCATCACATCTACAGCCATAGACAAATTCACCAAGGCAGCTACATGACACGGCATAGGCCATGCATGAATCAAGCTTTTAATCAAGGGGATAAAATATTGCAACGGGTAATCAAAGAGAATGGTTCCTATCAGCCATTTTGCTTCCTGATTTTCACTGTCATTCGGAGTATCCATACTTCTTACCACGGTCAAAAACCCGTTTGCCAATCTCCCTTAGTGTTCACATAAGAATCTAAAGATCTAGAATTACATCTCTCCTCTTGGATTCTCCGTGCTACAGGAGCAGTTTGCCTGCCAGCTACAGCATTTAATTTTGGTTTCGATGAAGAAAAATGGATCCACCAAGATAACTTCGCAAGCGTTCAGTCCTGGGCGATACATGGTTGCATTAGTCATGGCACCAAACTTATTACTGACGCAACAGGTTGAATTTCAAAGACCTTTTTTTAGGTGGCAGGGCTTTCATGACATCAAACCACCCCAAGCAAATGAAAGTACGAGGGAAACAGAAAGGGCTTGAAAGACTGTCAACGGAAATTGGCAAAAATTTGCATGAAAATGATAATCCTAGCCGAATATATAAATAACAAAAAATTGCATGAAAATGATAATCCTAGCCGAATAAGCAATAGAGAAACCAAAAGGTCAAAATCAACATGCGGATAGCATATCACATGTATAACTGAATTTACATGCCTTCCAGTTGGGATCTTTTGATCAATACTTTGAACATTCTTGCAGAGATATTAGCGTATTTACTTCATGCTTATCTTGGAGGAGGAGGAACATTGGATTTCGCCATCCCCACCCAAGCAACGATGCCAACTGCAAGGATAATCCATCCAAATATATCATACTTCAGATCACTGTTTGTCTTCTTCTTGGAGCCCTGAAATAGAATTAAAAAATGTCTGATGATGCTTTTTTAAGAAATAAATAATGAGTGTTTTGAGATAATATTTAATGTAGTGACTTGTGGGAAAACAGTCGGTTAGAACTCAATATCAACCCATTCCCAACCATCACTTCCTGAACCAATCCTCGGAAAAAGATAGTATGTAAACTGCATTACAAACTATGGATTTGATGTGTTTCTCTAGATTTTTGGGGACTTAGCATAGGCCGAGAACCTTACATCATGTTGAACTTGAACTTGAGATATCCATCAGAAACAAGAAACCACAAAGAGCTTTAACCAGAATGAATAAAAGAGTTTAAGCTCAAGTTGTTGACTGTTTCGTGAAGTTAGGCAGCAGGAAACACATAAATAAGGTTTTGACTAACCCTAGGAACTTACAAAAACTTGATTGACCAACCTAGCATTTGGATAAGTGAAATCAATGACATTCTTCCACCATATAAGTTATGCACACAAGGAAAACACCAATGCACTACACATATAAGCATAAGTTATGCACTCAAGGAAAACACCAATGCACTACACATATGTATGAATAGCATGCACATAGCAGCGTGCAAGCTTTAGAGTCAATTTGAAGCTTGAGCATCGGAGTCGATTTGTTAAAAAAAATTCAACAACCCACACGCACAATGACAGAAGTTGTACAAATTATCAGTGGAAACCTCCATACCGTCAGGACCCCAATCTAAATCGCAGGTTTTTTCACAGCTTCGCCCTCCTTGCCAGAGTTCTTGGGGGGCGTTTGTTTAGCCAGGTTGCTTTCCCGATCCCTTTCTCATAACCCAAAGACTTACTTTGAGAAGGTACCGAAGATAGCTCTAAAGACAAGGTACGAGTCTATTCTTTGCAGCGAAATCAATGGGAAAGCAAAGCAAATCCACGTAGGTGTGAGAAAAAGAATAAAGAAGTACGAAAAGGTACGTAGGCTCCGTTCGCTAGTAAAGCATGCTGCTCCGTTCACCACTATTATATATATAAGTATTGACTAAACTAAAAAAGAATGTCATCCGGCTCTTCATCTATTATCTATTGAACTCTAAGTGCCAATGAGGGCAAGCAGTTCATAGTTGTTGCAAACCACAGTGGTGGATATAGTGTTCATGTTGCGGAAATATCTTGTGTTATATTCAATATCACGTGATTTGGAAGAAAAAAGAAAACAAAGATAATATGGAGCAAGAACCACAGAGTGAAACTAGAGGACTCTTGATCATCTGTACATTGCAAATAATTTGCAAGAAAATTGATGACCAAACTACCATTACAGCATCTTGGAGACTTCAATTCAAACATGGTAAGTTCAATAAGAAAATGGGTTAAACACTAACAATTCCTTGTGCTAATTTGCTAGATACTTCTCTACAATTTTTTTTAAAAAAAATAAGAAAAGAAAAGAAAAGCAGAAAGGAGATTGGAAGACACCTTAATCAAAAGAACTGCAGACTCTTCACAATTTCTTATTATATTCAAGAGGACTCAAACTCAAGACTTTGGAAGGGGGAAAGGTACAACCAACAAGGCGCGGTATGAGAACTTATTTAACTCTACAGTCCAATTATTATTTCTCTTTCCTGCCAAATCTAAGTCACTGCTGCTACAATTTACTTCACTTTACTCCACCAGATGTGGATTAGAATGTCAACATATCCCTTGGGCTTTCAATCACAATAATTTCTGCCATTTAATCATAACAATATTTCCAATTGTCTCGATAATTTTGTTACTTTCCTATTTTACCTTACAAGAGCACCCATCAGAAATTTTAAGGGCCATACAACATTTTAAGATACTAAACTCTGAATGCTAAAAATCAGAAAAATTCTTACTGGTTTCTTTAGCTGACATGCAGAGATATTGGGAACACTTTGCGTTAGGTTTCAGTTTGAAGCCAGCATTTTTTGTGTTCTTTCTTGATAGATTCCTTTTCATCCCAAACGGAGAGAGAACTCCTATTGCATTTTCAATTTAGAATAACCTAATAGTTTCAAAGATGAAACCATCTGCAAGTCATGGTATAGTAGGAAAAGCTCATGCATGATGAAATTCTATGCAGCAATAAAATATCCACCTTCACTATTTTTCCTTGGGGTAGGAAGGAAACCACACTTTTTTTTTTCAAAGAATGGGATGGAGTAAACAACAAAGTAGGTATTGACTTGGGAAAAACTTAGAAACAATCAACCCCTAAATTTCTCACCTTTGCATTTGAAGAAGCTGTAGAGCCCCCCCCACCCATAATCTGTTGACTGCTTGAATGCTTATGGATCTCCGCATGTAATTCTGGAGCCTGTGAAGATATCATCAACAACATCTTTCATCAGAACATAGGAAGTGGCACACATCAATAATTAATCAAACAGATCACTTTGAAGATAGTACTAACACATAATCAAAAAAGTGGAATTCATCTGATCAGGATCGATAGAAATGATTTTGGAAAAGTTAAATCCTGATTTGCAATATTCAATCTGAATATCATGCACAAAATAAAAAAGAAAATATTGAAGATTTGAAGAAGCTGACAATAGCAACAATCAATATAATTGTTGTGGTTTTTTATTATTTGATGTCATGAGAGCTAACACCTCAAATAGAAAAATTTTCAAACGTAAGATGTACTTTCTGCTTTCTGCTTTCATGTAAAATGCTAGAAAATTTCTGTTTTAATAGGAGGTAGAGGGCCAAATGAGTATAATTAGTAAATTGCATACCAGAAATTTAAAAGCGCAGGCTTCAAAACCACCAAATACACAAAAAGAAACAACAGTTTACACTCACATTTACTTGTGAGAAGAGAAGGAAGGTCCAACACATACCTTAGCGCAAACTTCCAAAGACTTACGATAAAGCTCGTTGTTTGGATCCTGTATAGAAAATATCAAATTTGCAGTTATAACTTACATCTCGCCAAAGACCACCAGATACTAACATGCTTAAACATGTGCCTCGAATCAAAGCCCACCACCAAATAACTCCAAAATTACCTCATCAACTGCTTGTTGGAAATAATTAGCTGCCTTGTTGAAATAACTTTTAGCTTCATCAAGATCAGGAGTCAGAAATGCATAAGAAGTATTGGCATTTCCTATAGACCACATGGCATTGGATGTTGGATTTAACATCAATGCCTCTTCCAACTTTGAAATGGCATCTGTGTAATAAAGACACCGTCCCAATAACATAAATCCCAGAAAATTTGCTCAGTTGTGAATTGGTAATTATAGCTACGAATAAACTATAGTACCATTTATCATCTTCTTTGCGTCTGCCACAGTTTGAAATTGCGATAATTCCAGCAACGCCTCACCCCACTTAGTCAAGTTCTGCGAAACATAACCCCCTTCTTTAATGCTAACAAATCACTAGAAATAGTGATAATACATCAATGATTTACAGAATGAAAATTGATGCGATAGCCAGTGAGTGTTCTCTAAATACTGAACGAGATACATATATATGGTCTGACACACACAAGTGATAATCAAGTATATATATAAAAAAATCTTTTAAGGAGAAGAGCATAATTGACAACGGAAAAAACAGGAATTAAACAGAACGACGGTTCGTTTAAGGAATATAGAGTACTCACTGTGGCATCCAGAGGGTCTCTAGCGTAGGTAGCTTCAGCGGTTTTACGAGAGTGCTCGAACATTAAGAGACGATCGAAGTCATCTTGAGAGAACTCCATTGCCGTTGTTTTTCTTTTTTTCTCGCCTTTTTACTTCTCTCTTTTATGCTCTGCCAGGAGTGATGAGGACTCGAGAGAGAAAGAGAGGTGTAGCTAGGGTTTGAGGTTAGGACTTAGGAGTGACGGTCTTTAATCTTTTAAACTGTTTGTTGTCAAGATTTTATGTCTGTCACGTGTGATGCACGTCGTCACACGTTAAGGCAACGAACAGGAAGCAGCTGTTGGACCTGGGCCCTGTTAATGCCGGCTTGACCGCTGACTGTGGACTTTTGGAAGTTAGGCATCAATCTTTTCCTCCTTTTTTAATTTTGAAGTGAATGTAACTCGATTTAAATCTTATAACGCAAGAGATATTAAAACTTTATACTACAGAGGTAGAATATCTTCAATCATGTACTCTAATTTCAATGAAATCCTGTTCTTATTTGACATGAAGAAAATTAATAATTTTTCTCTTATAGATTTCTCATAAATTTACATAAATCATATGAATTATATTAAAAACGATGACAGTTTAATTCCACCTGGATACTGTTTTTTTAGATAAAAAAAACGAGATACAGGGATTCCTCATAATTATTAAATTTAACATGTGTTTCTAGTATTAAATATATTCTTCATGTCAAAGGAGAATGATAGGTTGATGTAAAGATATCAATTCGTGCAAAATAGTTGTTTTTTTAATGGACTTTAGTATCATAAGATACTTATGACACTTAAATCAATATTATTGTTGATGAAAAATACAATAAACATGTAAAATAATATTAAATTTTAACAATTATCTCACTTATTATTATCTTTATATGAAAATAAATGCTTTGTAAATAATTTAGTATAAACATTCAAAATAAAAATTATAAATTTTTCACTTTAATGTTCAAGAGTATTTATATTTTCTAGATCTTATCCTCTTGTTTCAGATAAAAAATTATAAAATTATGATAATAAAAATGAGATATAAATATTTTTTTATAAATTTATTAATAAAAGATAAATGCTTATTACAGGGAATAAATAGTTATAACATTAACATTAATTTTAGATAAATATTATTTGTATTTGTATTAATAAAACAAAAATATAGGAGGTTATAAAAAAACTCCTGACATCTAAAAATGTAGATGAAGCCGAGTCTTGGCTGAAAATACTTGGATTAGACAAAAATCTCGAGGACCAAGTGTCGAGTCTAGATCATGAGGTGGGGTGTAAGAAATGTCAAGACACGTACTAGGCTCAAAAGATACATGGACTCAAGCGCACTGCACGAGCCCAAGGGTGCCAGGCCGTGCGTCCTGTGTCTGCGCTCAACCCTTTCTTCAAGAACCCTCACGAGCATGAGCCGTTGTTAAAACAAGCTCGGTTTAACGAAAAATTGTTTTAAAAATATTGATAAATACGGGTTCATCACTCACATATTTCTTCATGCCTCTCTTGGGTTATAAAGTGGACGATCTTGGCTTGCATAGGTGATTCCCAGCTCAATCTGTGCTGTTCTCAAGCGCCGCCTCCTGTGGTAGGTAATTCCTTTAGTAAAGTATATGGCTTGCATAGTTAATTTTTAAAAAGATAAGCTATCAATAGCTTATATGATATTTTTGTTAGATCAGTAAATTTAGATTTCAAGTTTTTATTAAAAAACAGGTTCATGACTTCTTATATTTTTCTATAAAATACACTTGCAAAGTTTTTATTTGTCTTTTTTTTAGGAAATACTTTAATATGTAACCTTTTTTAATTTATATTTTCTACTAAATCAATTAATTAAAAGATTTTAAGCATACGAAGAAGATAATATCGATATATTAATTAAATATAAACTTTGCCGAGAGATAAATTATAAAAACAAAATTAATGATATTGAAATATTAACATAAAATAAAACTTTATTGATATTTTAAAAAAACATTGTAAATGGAACAAACGATATGGAAAAAAAAAAGAAAAAAAAAAGAAGAAAAACTATTTAGCTCTTTCACGTTGGTGCGCGTGAAGAAATAGTGTTTCCCGCTAAAAGGCCACCATGCTTTAGAAAAAAACCCAAATTCCCGCCAATGAAACCCTAAAAGATAAATTCCCCCTCCCAACCTTCTCCCAGTTCCAAATCAAACATTCATAGCATACATCCATCTAACTCCCCATCCCCCAATCGAATTCACATTCTCCGATGGTAGAATCAGAGGAGAACAAGACAGAAACAACAACAACCCGACCCGAATTCCCAACAGGCCGGATCAAGAGAATCATGAAACTCGACAAAGACACCAACAAGGTCAATGCAGATGCTCTATTCCTCGTCTCCAGCTCCACCGAGTTGTTTCTCCGGTTCCTCGCGGAGAAATCAGCAGAAGTTGCAATCGAGAAGAAGCGAAAGATTGTGAAACTCGATCACATCCGAACCGCTGTTAAAAGGCACCACCCTACCAGTGATTTTCTCTTAGATTCGCTTCCATTGCCAGCTCAGTCATCAGAGAAGCCTGCAAGTGATAATACCAGTGCTCGCACCGTGACTGATAAACCAGCCCCGGCTGGCACTCGCCGGATTGATCAGTTTTTCGCTAAGGCGGCAAGTGAAGAAGTTCCGGTTCTGATAAATGAGTCCTAAACTTGGCTTCTTTTCTTTAATTTTCTTTTAATTAATTAAATGTAATAGAAACATGTTTAAGTTCTATAATGTAAGTGGTTTGGTTATGATTATATTAAATTATTTTAGAATTTCCATCGGAAATTATCATGTTTCATAATTCAATAGAATAGGAAAATCAAAGCTTCTTGATTACAAAACATAGCTCTACATAGTTTTAAACCTGAATAATTATTTTTCATTGAAAGCTCTTTGGGGTTCTGTTCTAGATACGGGTGTTGGTACAAGACATAGATACAGCAATGACAGCTCTTTGGGGTTCTGTTCTAGTTACGGGTGTTGGTACAAGACATAGATACACAATTATTTCTTATCAAATTGATGCAAATGGGTAAATTATTGTTTTGCAGAAATAATAGTTACTATTATGGTCCTTGATAAGGTTTGTCTAATCTCCCGTGACATGTGATTTTCGATTCAAATGTCCGAATTGGAATTCAGGGAGATAATGGCCCAGAAAATGATGAGACAACTGAAGCTGCTTCATCTCGAAGATGAGAAGAGAGGTCAGGTCGAAGAAACATCTTTTGCCCCTGAATTTTTCTTCCTTCCTTTATGTAAGATATTCCTTGATTTGCAGAATTGATGCTGTTGGTTCCCAACTGTCTGGGACCAAGAGAAAGCCTTCTGTTTAAAGGCGTTGCATTGCTAAATCCTCCATTCAAGCTTTTGTTTGAAAGACGTCGACTGCTGGTGCTTGGCCTTGACACGATCAAATTTTCTTGCTCAACTACTACATGGCTTGGGACCTTCCTTTCCTGTGTTGTAGAAGCCAGCTCATGACACAATAGGTAAGGAAAATAAAGTTCATTTTTGAATGTGGGAGTTCTTTTTTTAATGCTAACAAGAAGATTAATATTGCAGAAAATAGAAAGCAAACATTAAGGATAGAAAATATAAAAAAAATCTTTGCCTGTTGAGTGTTGAATGAACTGGCCCTTTGTCTTTGCTTTTCCTCTTCCATCTCCTGCCTCGATATGTTATACTCTTCCAGCATTGCCAGCAGGGGTACCTAGATAATAGTGCGTGCATTTGTTTATTTGATTTGCAAGTAACCAATGCTTCTTTAACATTAGATGAACACAATTCACCATACATGCCGACAAAAATGTGTATAACCAATATTAGTCACAACTCACAAGCAAATAAATTACTTACTCCATCATACAGGAATACTTTGTTTCTTTCCTCTTCCCAACTCTCAGTCTTTGTTATGAGCGATGCCACTAGAACTGTACAATCAGTTTTACACTATACATAAATATATCTGACATGCATTAAAGCAATAAGATTTTCAAAACAAAAGGTCATCAGTCTACATAGCTGAAATATGGAGTCAGGCTTCTCATCCCACAATTACTCTTTTTTTTTTTCTTTTTTTTTTAGATGGAGTCAGGCTTTTCATCCCACAATTACTCTTTTTTTTTTTTTTTTTATAATTCACCTCATCAACCACTCCTTGACGTGGTTACTGGTTAGTATTTTATTTAGTGATTAATGTCGACCTCCAGTTCTTTACCTATTGAAAATGGATATTTTAGCACTGGCATCTTAGTCTAAATAGTGATTTGTAGGCTGTTTCTGATTAGTTTGTGGTTGTAGAGGCTTTTATTTGGCATGATTGCATGCCCATTGGGGTTTCAGGGTTCTTTGCAAACCAGCCAACTTCCTCCTCTTACCTGGGATCTTGTTGACTATTACCCGGGCACGTTCTGCACGTTGCAGATTCTTATGAGCACCTCTGCGAACTGAATATCGATTCTCGTCCTGAAAACACACGTGGAAACTTGAAATGTCATGCAGACGCAACAAAGGACAGGAGCTAACAAATCATGCAGATCACTGGGTTACTAACCATGCTGTATTCTTCTAACCAGCGCTCTTCATCACGTGCTAATATCCACTTTTCGACCTTTTCCATTATAGCCTTCCTGCTAGAAGCTTCCTCTTTTGCTTTTGATATCTGCTCATCCAAGCTCATGAGGAGATCGGCATGGTCAATCTCCCCTTTTTTAGCCTTTCAGTCAGTACTAGGCAACACAAGTTTAAACATGAATTGGAACTGGTAGCTGTAATGAAAGATTAATTCAGTTGATCTTACCCAAGTTTATAAGATTTATTATATTTTCCATCTCTGGTCGTGAAGGGATCTCCATGTGTGATTTATTGCATATTTGATCTAACTCGCTCTGTTTCTTGAAAAAAAGCTCTTTCATCTTGCTTGCTTTTAGCTGATCCAGTCTCTTGACTTCATCTTCAGCCTTGAAACGATTCAAATAACTATTATATCTTAGTTGTTTGTGATAAGTTATGTTGTTCATCATATACTAACCTGCTGGATTATATTTAGAGCAAGGCTTCCAGGACCTGATACTTCATCTGATGAGAGAAATAATAAGTCCGTGACATTGGAAAATGAGTGACAATCTTTATAGGGCGTGTCCATTAGATTCCACAAGTTTTTCAGTGCCTTTCCAAGCTGAT